GTCTACTTCTACATTTTTTTTTAATATTAATCCTTCTTTCTAGGGATTTGAATTTTCCTCATTAGCAATAAGTCTTCATAAACTTTCTTCAGCATCAGCAGCATCAATAGGAACAGGTACCTGAACATTGCTAAATTTTTGTAAAATTTCATCTGTTTTAGAATTAATAAGATTTTTAATTTCTTCATTATCAATTTTACTAATTGCATCTTTAATTGCTTGAATATCAGTATCGAGTTTTAAATTTTTTAATGCATTTTGAACAGCTTTTTCAACAGTTGATGCAATTTGACCTAATTGTTTTAATAATTCATTATAATTATTTTGCCATGTTTTAATTTCTCTATTTTTATTTTTAAGAATTTCTTCAATTCTTGCAGATGATGCAATAATATTTTGTTTTTGTTGTAATGTATATGTTTGAACAAAAGGATTGGATTGAGGATTTGACATTTTTAATAAAAATTAATATACAAACATGGTTCTTTTATATTTAAATTTATACTAAACTTTATTTTATATTAACAATATAAATAAATTATATAAATATAATAATAATCTATTTAGAAACATTAATGATTTCTTCATTTATTTTAATTTCACTCATTTGTTTAATTATTTATTCATATACTCAAGAATTTTAATAAAAATTATTATTAAATTCTTAAAAAAAAAATAGTTCTATGTTTTCTTGCTAGTTTAGTTACTGGATGGGCAGCTATATACCTCTTTAGTACTAGACTTTACAATAAAACTAATTGATATTATAATACATCTGGTTATCATAAACCCAATGCTAATACTTATAATACTACTTTAAAAAAACTAAAATCTCAAAATAATATTGTAAAAACTTCTTATAATAATATAAGAAATTTATATAATCGAACAAACACTTTATATCGAAAATCACAAAAACTTTTAACAGAAAAAGAATTAAAACTTCAAGAAGAAATAAAAAAATATAATAATGCTAAAACTAAACTTGATGAATTATACAAAGATTTTATTAAACTTGCCAATGATAATGAAAATTTAAAACAACAATTAACAAAAGAACATGAACAATATTTAAATGAAGCTAAAGCTCATGCAATCACCAAAAATTCATTAATCGAAGCTAATAACAAACTTAATGAAAAAACTCAAGAAGCAAAAAATAACAAAGATAACTATGAAAAAACATTTAAAGATCTTCAAACTGAAATCTTAAATAACTACAAAAATGAATTACTTTTACAAACAAAAGATAATGAAATTAAAAAAATAACAACCCAAGCTAGAAAAGATTATGAAGATGCCAAAAATAAACTTAAAAAAACAATCAAAGATAATGATAAATTTAAAAAAAAATATAAAGAAACATTTGAAAAACTCTTACAAGAAATATTAAACAACCATAAAAACAAGTTTACTATCAAAAACAATAATGAATGAATTAATAAACTAAAAGTTAAACCTAAAGAAACAAATGATAAATTAAATGAAATAACTAAAAGTAAAGATGAATATGTTAAAAAATATCAAGAAATGATAAAAAAACTTAATGATATGAATATAGAATATCAAAAAACTAAAGAAAAATTAAAATCTGAAAAACTTCGTCATAAAGAAACAAAAAACCTTTACAAAACTGAAAAAGAAAAATTAGAAAAGGAAAAAGAAGCACATGAAAAAACCAAAAAAATCACTCAAGAAGAAAAAAAAAATCTACTGAAACAAATAAATGAATTAATCGAGAAAAATAAAAAACTGGATAATCAAATTAAAGATGAAGAAAAAAAGAAAAATAAATTGGAAAAAATTGTTAAAACCCTTGAAGATAAGTATAATAAAAAAATTGGTGAATTAAATGATTTATTAAAGAAAAAAAATGATGAAATAAAAACACTAAAAAATGATCAAAAAATGTTAAAAATAAAATA